TTCTTCCTTCCTTTTTTCTTCTTATTCATCATCATCATCTTCTTCTTCTTCTGTCTTTCTCTATAGCAGTGCTCTGGAAGGGGAAGTGGAGATGTTATATCATATTACCACAGTCGAGGTCACCATATTTACGGCATTCCCAAAGAAACACTGCTTCTCACTCGATATTTAGTACCTGCTTCTTGGGCTGTGTGACGGGTAGGGGGGTGGGGGGCAATGGGTGTAATCAGAATGATTACAATATATATATGAAAAAAGACACACTTAGATCGCTCTAAAAAGCAAATCGCAAAAGAATGTAAATGAAATTCTTCAGGATCTGACCACAGAGTGGGGACAGACTCAGAAACGTTTCTCGTATAACATAAATACTCAGGCTGTATTAAAACCGTATTTCCTGTCTAGATTCCATTGCCTCATTTGAAAGGCAGTATAGACTTACTGGCTCACTAACAAGCATGTCGTAAAAGGGGACTAATTATTGGGATTTCCTTCAGTGTCGAAGTGCATGTCTGAAAAGCGAGGATCCAATAGTATGCACATACTTAAGTCAGCTATGTAAATCAGCTGTACATGCAAAACTCAAGTTCTAGGTGGGGGTTGAAGGGGGGGGGGGGGGGGGGGGGTCAAGTCAAGAAGTGGTCTAACATCCAGAATTTTCCGCAGGAGTTTACAGCAGAAAAACGTTAAGAAGAAGAAGAAACGCCATTAATGGTTTGGAGAAAGCAGTGTTTGATTGTATGGTTCCTTCAGAACTAGACAGGGAGCGTTATTCCAGACCGTGGACGCAGGATATCGAGACACTTATGTCATGAATGGTCGCAAGGCGGAAAGACGGCTGGGGCCTGAGCGTCTTCCCCGCGTTCTATACTGACAGCTACACACACACACACACACACACACACAAAAGCCTTGACCATGAGGGCACGAACAATGACACTTGCCTCGTAATAAGCCAACAGTCCTGGTTGGTTAGTATATGGGCCGGGCTCCCCTGGGCGCATGACCGCGGCACCCACGTAATTATGGTGAGCTTCCTTAAGAGTAAACGACCTCCCGTATGTAGCAACGCCAATGTTGATAAGCTCTTTAGGTACACCCAGTGAAACATAATACCTAACGACCCAGTCCTGCAGTAAATTAAAACACAGTAAAAAGGCAAAGTAGTGAATCATTATCATCAAGTGCTTGCCTACGACTGGCAGGGGCGATCATGCCTCTCCATAACCATCTATCTCCAACAGCGTGTATTAGTTAATGTTCTGACACCTCCCATTGGCATGACAACAAAAAAGGCGGCCACGAGTCGTCTCACGTTGTCTTCGTCTATCTCTACACAAAACTATCTAGTAGTCATAACTCGTTACAGTTTTCCCTCTTCTCACACCCTGGCCTGAAATGATGATTACGTCCTGCTGGTGTCTGTGATATGATTTTTGTGTGTGGCCCTTGCCTCTTTTACAACATCTGGGTTACTATTTCTGGCTATCTAAAACTATTTTTTAAACATATTTCATTAAAAACTACACGTTTGTGACCGCAAGCAATAGCTTGGCGTGTTTATTAGTTTCCTGGATTCACAGCAACAGGTTAAAAGAGGCTCGATGATAATTCACTTTTTTTCTGTAACCTACAATAACAGAGTTTATTATATCTTCATTTTTAAATGTGAATTTTACCTGTTTATTCCGTTTCTTTTCTCCATGACTTATCATTCATCTGATGTTATCAGTGCGTCTAGATGCCTAAACATATGTAAGTAAAGAAAGTAAAGATCCCTTTTCATTCACGCCTTTAGGCGCATCGGGCATATGGGAAGAGCACCCATATTTTTACAGACCAATCGGCACTCGGTGAGTAATGTGGTCAGCATTACGCCGGCCGTCTTTACTTCCCCAGGACAGCCATCCTGGTACCCATTTGAGGCTGGGTCGACTTGCGACGTCTTATACCACGATAAAAATCCACGCAGCCCGCAATGAGTTTTGGATCGCAGTACGTTGGATTACGAGTCGGACTCGCAACGCCTTAGCCACGGACGCCGCTTGGACATATGTACTCCCAAAATAACGTCATTGACATGACGTGTATTATGCATTCAGGCGCGATTATTTTCTTTGATATTACCATTAACGTTTTGCTTGTGCAAGGCGATGTCCATTCTTTAATTTTCTACCACCACCATATACATCACTTGATGTAGTTTTTTTAATTTTTCCTGACTTATTGCTATCAAGACGGCAACGTCAGCATCATGTAGATTCTATACTCTTTGACCACATCCCCAAGTGCCTGGTATTTCCATTAGGGCTTTCATTATAAATTCGCACTATAATAACAAAAAGGCGATAGTTCACATCTTTGTCGTACTCCCTGTTTTAAATGTAGAAATTTACCTACGCGGTTGTTAAATCTTATTTTTCCCCCGTTTTCTGCTCTTAGTCAATACGCTCTCTTTATTATTCGCAGATCCTCTTTGTTATTCTGATAATTTCACAAAGTAATAAAAATAAAAATAGCCTCAATCTAAGGCACATACACACACACACACACACACAACATGCAAAAATTGGTAGGGGGAGGGAAACCAGCCCACAAATACTCTATAAGTACCACTTTTGTGCTGTCAATGCCAGAAATGGGCAGTGCTAGAAAATCAGAAATGGAAAATTACAACATTTGTAATGTAATCTTTAAGAAATGCCGCGGGAAAACAACAACAGTAAGAAGGGACAAAGTCACCAGTGAAGAAGTCACCAGTGAAGAAGTTACCAATAAGAAGTCACCAATGAAGAAGTCACCAGTGAAGAAGTCACCAACAAGAAGTAAGAACCATATATCGTCAGCAAATCGCAGGTTGTTCACATAAAGCCCAGCAACCGATATTTCTTATATGCTATGTATGGATCTAATTATTTTTTCACTAAATACATACTTTGAATCGTTCGTGCGACAACACACATTCCTGCCTTAAGCCTTGTTTAATGTTCCACACTTGTTCTCAATTCTTATGACTGCTTGGTGTTGCCACTGTATTTTTCTTTCCTTCCTTCCTTCCTTCTTTCTTTCTTTCTTTCTTTCTTTCTTTCTTTCTTTCTTTCTTTCTTTCTTTCTTTCTTTCTTTCTTTCTTTCTTTCTTTCTTTCTTTCTTTCTTTCTTTCTTTCTTTTTTTCTTTCTTTCTTTATCTGTTTTTTTTTCTTTCGTACTTTCTTTCTTTATTTATCTTTTTCTTTCTCTCTTTGTTTCATGATCTTTTTTTTTTCTGTCATTATTTCTTTCTTTTTTCTCTCTTTCTTTTTTCTTTGTTTCTTTCTATCTTTTCTTCCTTTCTTCCTTTCTTCTTTCTTTCTTTCTTTCTATCTTTCTTCCTTTCTTTTGTTTTCTTTCTTTCGTTCCTTTTTTCTTTCTGTTTTAATAATTCTAGTTTCATGACTTTCAAATGTCGTTACACTTAGAGGCAACACCGGTAAGGTTGTATCAACATGTAGAAATGTTTACCACATTAAGGTAACTTTCCTCGCCAGTGTCTCCAGGACGGGCGTACAAAGCAGTGTGAAAGCCCGTGTTTACATCCCAGCTCCCATGAAAGTCGTAGGTCAAGAGAGAGACAAAATCTATGAACCTGTAGAAAGCAAAACACAAAAGGGTACTAAACACGTCAAAATAAATATAGGTTTGTTAATAAACTTTTGTTGGTAGGTGTCATATTGCCATGTGTACGTCATAGAGTTGCGTGGATCCGAGGACCGAAGAGACAGGGTTCGAATCCGTATCTCGGGAGTACAGTCTGGTCGTTATAAATACACAGTCAAGGAGTATTGCAGGAGGATACTATTTAATCGCCGCCCCAAAGTGCAATATAATTTTTTGTTGTTTTTTTTAAAGTTCCACCCCTGCATTCGCCATGGAGCTAGAAATATAGCCCACGGGTTGAATGGGCACTTTTGGACTTGCGCGCAGGTGATTCTCATCCGAATGGTGGCACTTTTTGTAACCGGGTGTTTATGGCTCGTCGTGCGGTTTTTGTGGGGTTGAAAGTCAGTTAGAGAGTCTAACGGCAAATATTATAAAATATACATATACATATATGTATATTTATATAAATATATGCGTATACGATAATCTGTGAATGATGAATGGTAGGCACATTATTGGCAAATAATTTTACATTACATCAAAGAATCAAACAGGTTTTATCCTGGTCAGAATGAAACAAAGTCAGCCAGTGGCTACTGTGTACTAAGAGAAAACAGATTACAATGCAAGCGTCAACAAGAAAAAGATGTGTGAATAGAGTAAAAAAAATATATACGTATGTACACACATATAACTCCACTCTGAGACGCTTTATGACGTAAGCAGTAGGACAAAAGAAGAAGATTACCAGTCTCTTGTTGCTTTGCCTTGTTTGGTTCATGCCAGTTATTTTAAAAAACTCATTAATATTTGATTGTGAATATAATTTCACAGTAACACAAGTAGACAGCATGGTTACAGCCTGGATACACCAGGTGAAAGGAACATCTTAATGGTGCATAATGAGTAAAAAACAGAATTTCGAGAAAAGTGGCACTAATGACGACAAAAAACGGATGGGTTTTTGGTGCCGAATGTGTTAGTTTTTAATATGTTGGTTGCGTGTTCTTTACAGGACTTTGCAGAACCACCGCCAGCATTTCCAATTGTTGTTGTTGTTGTTGTTGTTGTTGTTGTTGTTGTTGTTTTCTAGGCAAATTTTACGTTCAATAGTTTACCACTGTCGGCTCTGTGGCTAAGTCGCTGCGGACGCTTCGTAATGCCGGAATGTCGGGTTCGATGCCAACTGAGGGCCATGCGCCTTGCGTTGGTCTCGACAATGGTATCAAGAAAGCCGACCGTCCATGAAGAAATGGTAAAACTACTGGACGTAATTTGCATAGAAAAACCACACAACAGCCAGGAGTTGATGGGGTTGATTCTGCATCGTCCTGTCAAGGATACGCAATTAACCTTAAGTTGA